GGGGCAAAAGCTACTTTTTGTCTCAAAAACAGCCTCAAGGCTGCTTTTGAAATTGAACCAACTTTTGATCAAAAGTAGCTTTTGATTTTGATCAAAAGAACTTTACCAAACACAGGAGTTTTTGACCAAAATCAAAAGCTACTTTTGGTCAAAAGTGCTTTTTGGTTTTGGTGAAGCTTTTGGCCAAAAGTTACTTTCGGGTTTCACCTGAACAGGCCCTTATTCTCCTGTCTGCAATGGCAAAGGCATTGCTTGCTATTCCAGCAACCAGTTTCCCTTCCGAGCACATGTTTTCCAAAGGTTGTGCTGTCCTTTCATATGCAAGATTGTTGCTCAACCCTGATACAGTTGAGCAACTTCTCTGTGTCAAGGTGTGGTACTGTGTGTTTTGTCCAGCTTATTTTGATGTACTGGATGATTGGGATCACAAATGATATTTGTAAATTGCAATCAAAATCGATTAAACTACTCTCAACAAGTCTTCTCTGCTCCCTCTCCCACTTGACTTCTTTGTTTATTATTGTTCTTACAAAGCTTGCCAAAAATTTGGTGCCAAACTGCTCAAAAGCTTCGTGGGAAAACTTGGACAAGCTTGTTGAGAACAACAGTAAAAACAAACCCCAGGGAGCGTGGGGAATTGGCTCTTCTGCCAAAACTTTCCCCGGTGATTCCCCGCGGAAATTTCCTTGGCCAAACTGATCCCGGCTCCCGCCATCACGGGTGCGGGATCCGGGGGCGGGGCAAGGAGTAGTTATACTTATTTGTGATTTCCCTACACCACAAGGACACTTGGATGTCCACCGGGTGTCCGATTTTTCTTGGTGGGGGACGGACGTCCCCCCACAGCACACCGGGAAACATCTGTCAGACTCCGACGTTCATACGCCTGAGCAGAGCCCATCCGGCTGCCCAGAGCGCGCAAATCGACAACCATCTGACATCCCTCGAGGTTTGTTGTGAGGGCGCACGCAGCACCAATACACAAATGACTGATAGAGCTTTGGATCAACTTTAGATATCTCCTAGATTGTCCTAAAGATGTCTACGGGTTGGTTTTGAGTTCACTTATTTCAGATCCGTTTTGATTAATAACGGCACAATTAAATTTCCTATAAAGCACTGTTATAACAATGATGATTTGTAGTTCAAAGCCCCAACATTGATGAAATGACACGACCAATAAAGGTTAAAACAATAAAGTGATAAAAACAATAAAACAATGAAATGATAAATACCATAAAACAATGAAATGATAAGGACAATAGAACAATGAAATGATAAAAACAATAGATACAAAAAAAATGATAAAGAGATTGGTGTGGCGGGACATGCACATCAGTCATTCAACAATTGAGTTTTTATAGTGACAAGGTAGTAAGGACCGGTAAACTTGATTAAGCCTGTGATTTTTAAGAGACCATCAGTAAAAGGTCACGGTGATTGATATACAATTCAGCCGACCTACGGTGCCCAAAACTTCAAAAGGTATTCATACAACAAGTGAGATCAGCAGATGCCAGATTTCCCAAGACGAGTTGTTCTATTGATGCCCAGAGCTGAGAGGCTGTGTAGATCCTGGCATCATCAGCTAGATTACCAAATCCAAAAAGAATTGACAATGACCATCAGAACACTCTTTAGTATGATTTTGAAGAGATATCAATTTAGTGTTACATAACCGGTTTATTGTCTTCATGTAAACTAGACCTGAGGCGGGCACGCCCGCCCTCAATGCTCAGTAGTATTCATGCCTCCCATTAGCTCTGCATAAATATGTAGCCTTAGGTGTTTCCCACCATCCTAACACAGAGAAAAGTGTAGAGTCCATTACAGAGACCAGAAGGTACTTTAGCTCTTCTTGATTGAAGTTGTTCACTTCTGATCTACTGTATTTGTTTACATCAACTCCTCAAGGATTGAACTCGGATCAAATTACTTTAGCCACCTTGCTGAAGTTGAATCCTTACCCGTATTACAGACAACATGCCTCTGAGACAATGAAAATTGACTCTAATAATGATTTTTTTCAGTAGGCATGGAAAGGAATTCATTGATGTTGGTTCATAGTAGTCATGGTCAGACTTACAGGGATAGATGTGTAGAGAAGTAATCAGACTAATAGAGATGCCAGATCACTATAACTTTTCTTTGGAAATTTATACTGAGAAAAGGATGGAAGAAGAGACTCAAAATTCAAAATCAAGTTTTCCCTCGTGAGATTAAAACCAGTGTGGTTCATTATCAGAGCAACATCCAATTTTGAATGAAGTGGTGCAGAATGAAATTGAGACCAAAGATTAACTTCCCAATCAAATGCTTATAAGTAAACCAAGCTCAAGAAGCTTGAAGTGAAGAAGAGTATTCTCAGCATTGAATTTAGAAAGGCTGTCTTTTAATAAGTACATAGATTGAAAATTTGATTTTTCTTCCCAGTGACTATTGGGGTTTACATAGAGCAATCCGAAGAAACCCACAGATTCATGACAGCTGAAATGGGAGGACTATATTGAAGATTAGTCATGCTGTGGAGTGGTTAACGGTGTTATTGGGTATATATAGTCAATGCGCACTTTGAGAGCATATGCATTACATTATTACTTGTGATCCAATTTTTTTTGTGGAGTGATTAACCGTGTTATTGAATATAGTTGTCACATGAAGTGATTTGATGAGGATCAATGAGAGGAGATTGATTGTAGGCAAGTAGGGCGGTACACGCACTATATCTGTGTATAGGTTATGGTCTGACGGAGAGATTAAGAGCTTACCTGAATTTGCGTGTATTAGAAACGGAATGGCTGTGAGTGACTGCTGATGGCCAAGAAGACATGTCTCAGACAGCCCTGTGAGAGGGTCCATACTACTGTCTGAGAACAGCTGACAGTTGGCACTGGTGCATAGACGGCAATTGCACATGAGATATAGGGATGAAGTGGAGGAATATAAAAAACGGTTGAACAGAAGGAAATAGTCAGAGTTGAGTTTAGAAATTGGATGCTGCTCCTACTACAGGATAGGGCGAAGGACAGGATATAAAACTTATGCTAATTGTATAATAGATATGTTGAGTGATGATGCATTCATCCCAAATAACTTGGGCAGAATGAGTAAGAGATAATGAAACTAATGCTGAATGGGATGAAGGAATAAACAATCAGTAGGATCACATGCAGGACTGCTGAAATGACAAGACAAAGAATTGGGGAGAAATGCCAAGTTCATAGTTCAGGCAATGGAAATATAATATTTAATTAGGGAGAAGTAGGGACTGAACACACCAAACAATTGATAGGTACAAATCAAAGAACAGAGGATGCAGATACAAACACAAAACAACTGTAGAATGAGTGGAGTGGTATGGAAGTCATACCAATTGAGCATGTAGGTATGATGTGAGATACATGTTGCAGATTGAGATGCAAACTGACTTAGGTAGAGGGAAGATGTTTATGGAGATCTGACCAATTAGGAAGTCTGGGTATGTATCTTATGACTTTGATTGACTGCAGGCGCGCACTCAGGCATGAGTGGCCATTGACAAATTGGTGTTCTTGAGGTGATGGTATAGTACACTTTGTTTTTTGTCTTCTATCACTGATAAGCAACTTACAATTGTTCATCAAAGCCATTAATCTTTGGGAGCCAGATAAAACTCAGTGATGTCACAAGACTTTGACTAAAGTGCATTTTGACTTTATCTGTGATTTTCCTCCTTCTTCAGAGTCAAGCTGTTATACAGGGATACTTTCTCCATTGAAATTGAGATAAGCCCTCTGAGTCAAACAGTTTTGGCTTCAAAGGGAAAGAGTAGATCTATATGTATGCATTTGTGCAATTTATCTAGTTCTTATTCAAGGTTATACCTTTTCTTTCCAGAGCTTCATATGTTTGATCTCAAACTCCAAAGCAAAGGGAAAATCATACTGGAGTATTGGCACTTTTCTCTGCAATAGTTTAACATACTTGAATATATTTCTTGAGTGGCTCAAAATCTAAATGAAGTATCAAGTATCATCACTATTAGATTTGACTTTCTTCTTCTTTCGTATAGATATGTAAGTCCAATTGAAATCAGAATCCAAAGGGAATATTGAAATATTTTGGGCAAGACAAACAAACACTAAAAGATTCAAAAATCATCACACACCTTAAACTTTCTTCTAATGTACATTACTCACTCATATACTTATCATCTGAGACTGAGTCTTATCAATGTTCTTCTTTCACACCTTTACAATCAAGCTTCCTCTTTGCAATCCAACTTGTTCACACAAGTCATTTACCTTTGTGTCAAATTATAGGAGTCTAGCATTTCATTCAAGTTTCATCTTTCTTTTTGTTCTCTCTTCATTCAGGAATCCTTTCTTCATCTTTGACCATAATCATAACTCCCCAAAAAACCAGGATGATGAAAATGGTATGTCATTGTCTTAAAAAACACATTATAACCTTACCAGTCTATATATGTATATGATGCTTCCTTCAACCAGAAAAAGGAATAAGCAAACAACAACTCCAAAAGATAATGCCGCTTCACAAAAAAACCCTTCTATGTTTAAGCCATGAGAAGTAGCTCAATTGATAAAAACAATTAATGGAAGAATAAATAAAGGAATGATAGAACAGAGAGAAAAGGGGAATGTAACAAAACAATAAAGAAAGAGATGAAAGAATAAATCAAGCTAAATTAAGATAGTTATGAACATGTTAGGGTTTTGGACAGTCTTGCTTTTTGCTTTCCTCTGCAACTTTTTTGGTGTGTGCATGAGAAAGGTTGTGAACAAAGCTGATCAAAGGAAAGCAGAATTTGAACTTTCATTCTCATCAAAAAACAAAAGAAAACAGTATTTGTTCATTAATTTCTTTGTGTGTATTTTGAAAACTTGCGTTTATGAGTTTAGCGTTTATCTTGATTTCTTCATATGTTCTGACATTTAAACGCGAGAAACACAAAACAAGCTTCACAAAGCTGAAGGTTAAACAAAAAGAAAAAAAATGAACTAAACTTGTTGATCATGGACAATCACGACTTTTTCCACTTTGCCATACCGACTAAATTCAGCTTCCAGATCCGATTCTCGTGTACGAATACTAAGACTAAAGACTCCAAGAACGTTGGTAGGCTGAACGTCTTGAGGCGCATGAGGAGGACGGACAGGAGGGCCAGAGACGATGGGCCGATCACGACGGTTGACAGAGTCTTCACGAGGGCGAGGAGAGACTGAGAAACTACTTCAGCAAGGGACTCGATCTGATGGGAACTTGGGCGAAGGTTGACATATCAACGATGGATCAGCTCTTGGAGGGTTGAAAGTCTCCTTGAATGTGGTCAATCATTAAACTATAACAGATCGATCAAAGCTCTATAGACCAAATTCTAAACAATCAGACATCATCACAGCTTGAGTTATGTTGCGAAGGTCTTTGGCCTTTGTACGAGCATGTCTCCCCGAGCCCAATTAAGAGTTCCGACGACACGCGAACCAGCAGTACTGATCAAGCCAAGTCTGTTGTCTTAAAAGGTTCAAGCTAGGTAATCGACTAAGCTCCTCCACGTTAGATTTTTCACTCTCGACTTTATCTTCAATCATTCCTATCACAAATGGTAATCAATCAATGATGATTGGTGCTTGATCGGGGTTCAGTTTTGGGAGTTAATCAATGTGTGATTGGGTAGAGATCGATGCATGGGTAGATAAGGTCTAAGGCTGATTGGAGTCTGGATGGATTAAATTCATCTTGACTTAACCAAACTAAATTTCCATGTAAATGAGGTGAAAAACTTTTGAGTAAAGTTGAATTGAGTTTAGATTGATTGGTTAATGATTTTAAAACTGGTGAAATCATTTTAGTCGCGATGACTTGTAGCTTTAATTTGGATTTTGTATTAGGATCTTCATTTGATAATTTCAAAAGATGTCTTTGGATCAAATTACATTCTTTTGGTGTTGAGTTTTCATGTCTGAAAAATAGATTCACTTTATGTTTTGTGAATAGATGTTAATAAATTTCAAAGATGAATTGTTTTCGAATCGGATAAGTTCTTCCACTCATTTTTTGATTGTTAGGAATGGCTCGACTTTTGGGAAGTCTTGTTGGAGTGATCGAGGTGGTTGAGAAGAGATTGGTGGGATAAGATGGGACGTAGGAAGTATGAACGCAAACTCAATGCAATTAGAGAAAAGGGGATATTGGGATTTGATGCAAAAGAACAACGTGGAGGCCTAAGATGGCATCTGAATGATAGAAATAGTCAAGAACGCAAAGGATGAACCGACTTGAGTTATGAGAAGAAAATGTATGCCTATTTGGGATGATTTCATGCAAAACATGGCATAACTTTGAATGGTAAGATACTATCAAAGGCTAGGTTGTACAAATTCGGCAGCAGAGAATGATGCTTTTGTGCTTAGTGACAGCGTAAGTTGAAAGAAAGCATGTGTATTGGGTAAAAAAGGATATTTTGCACGAAGTGATTGTTTGAATGTAAGGGTTATGGAGGAGTAGGGAGACGTGAGAGGTGAGTCAATATTGTTCTTCAGGACAACTTTTCTTAAATAGGAGAAACTTGGATAACCGAGATCCTGAAATATGGTTGTAGTGGTGCTTCAAATAGGAAGGATTGAGATAGCGGAGAGCAAGTGGTGTACAATGACAGAGTAAGGTACAAATTAGGAAACTATGGATGAGGCACGTTGAGCCAGTTGCAATGATTGAGGACTGCATGATTAAAAAAGGTATACGGTTTAAGCAATGAATTGGCAACGCAAGTTGTGGGTTTGTGAGGAAGACGGAAATGGGACCAGGGAAATGAAGGAGGATCATTTATGATCCACGAGTTTTGAATGATTGGCATAAAGAATTGAGTGGAATGAACCTGTATAGGAAATATTGAAGTTTTAGCGTAGAGAAGAAAAATGTTGAGGGTTTTAATGGAAAATGGAGATAGCAAAGAACAAATGAAAAGGAAGCCGAGATTGGTAAACAGAGAAGAAGAGAATGTCGAATATGGAAGTGATGGTCAAAAGAATAATGTAAAACATCCAAATGCAACCCAACGTACGTATAGGCAATAGGTGTTGAAAGATTTGAGGGGCAGAGCTGAGAATCGGGTATAAAAAGAGGCGTAAGATGCTGCAAAATTGAAACCTCACGCCCCTCAAGGGCCAACCGGGGAGTCATCTTTATGACCAGCGGTGGCTGAAACAGTAGGGGTGTCATTGGGAAATGGATGTTAGTTTGTAAAGCTCCGGCTTTCAAGCAAAAGCTCAGCAGTTATGCTCTAGCCCTAAGGGGAGGCATAAATGCCGAGTTTTTGCTTGAAGGGGGGGCTTTACGAATTTACATTTATTTAATGCTTGGATAGGAAAGATACGGTTTAAAAAGGTTCAAATCCCAAACTTCAAATCCAACTTTGAGAGACCCCCCAAAAATTTCAAGTCGAATAGAAATTGGCTCGCTTCGTACATCTCATACCCTTCATGTACAGACTGTAGCGATAACATAGTTCCAAATTGTTTGCTTCAAATTATGGACTTCAAATTTCTTTTTTATATTTGAACAAGTCTATTCTTCTTGGCATGTAATACAAAGGCAGACAAACCATGCAATCCTTGGGGGTTTGTTTACTTTGAACTTCAGAGCAGAGTACTGCAGGTGAAATTCAGAGCACTACAAAACTCGGAATATATCTTGAACTGTCAAAGGGGATTGATTGAGTGAGCCCTTTGTACCAGGATCAACTAGCAGGTCACATTCCAAAGGTCGAAATCATAAGTGCTTGTTGCAAAACTAGCTATCAATTAAAAAGGCTTTCAAGGTACAAAAAGAATAAGTTCAATTGTTTTAGCCCAAGTTGACCACCGAGTTTGGTTGTTAAGCTTCTTGAGTTTATATGACTTCTTACACCGAGGATAAAGTTCCATGTAAGATTTCCCATTGAGTCTTCACGCAGCGTTGGAAGGTAGCAGGAGTACGTGAGCAGGCTTCAGGACGAGAATCAGATGCAACATCGGTGAAAAGCGTGATGGAGTGTGTGTGTGTGTGTGTGTTTGATAGAATCCAATTGCTCACGTTGAAACCATGAAAGATTGAAGACCGATGAGGTATACTCGGTGACTAGGTTGACCGAGGGAATGGGAAGAGATTGCAGTTTGAGAAGATCTTTTGACTTGACTACGCGCAAAACATGGCTCGTCAAGGGCTCGTCATCATCATCTTTTAAAAACAATTTGATTCCCAATCAATTCTCAAATCATTTCATAAAGTACCAAATTCTGATTTTCTTTCCTTGTTTTGTTTTTCATTTTTTTCAATTTTCAATTTTTCAATTTCCAAATTGAACTTCAAATTAGAATTCAATCCCAAGGTCAAAGCTCAAAAGTTCATCTCTTCATATCATCAAATCAATCAACAAGATCAGATTGAAAATTTGAAAGTTTTGGATTACAAGTTAAACTTAAGTGCTTGAATTTCATAATCAAGACTTCAATTAGATTTCTACTCTATCAACAAACATTTCTTTATCAACCGAGCTCTTTACCAGTCTTCACTCAACCAAATCAAAAACCCATCCATCCATCCATCCATCCAAACACATCAATCCATCAATCAATCAATCATGACTACCACCATTCAAAACCTTGCTCCTATCGTACCTTTTATCGAACCTACTGAACCATTACAATTAGATGCAATCTTTAGTCCAATCTATGAAACTCAACAAACTAATCGAATCAGCCAAGTAAACCGTTTGAAAAACTTATCATTCTTTTCCTTTTCATATCACTTCATCTAATCTAACTCTTGTTTCTGCTTTTCTTTTGCAAATCAGGATCGAAAAGGGAAATCTGTCTCTAATCCTGGATCTACTGGAACTCAATCACAAAGCAGAGTAAGTACAAATCACGCTTCAAGTTTGTAAGTTTGAATTCATTGAAACTGATTTAATGGTCTCTGTTTCTTTCTTTTACATAGTCAAGTAATGTGGAACATACCAGATCACCATCAGAGGAAGAAATCATACTTGAAAAGTTAAGATCATTCCTATCCTTACTTCACAAAACCTTGAAGTTCAACTGGTCTTTAATTCTTGGATTCTTTTTAGGACTCGTCGTGAATTAGAAGATAAGATTTCAGAACTTAATAAACTCAAGAACCAAGTTAGTTTAAAAACCCCTTCCTTGATATTCCAAGAAACTCCTTTTTTCAGGTTTCATCAAACTGATTATGTAATACTTTGGGGTTTTTTCTTTAGCTTGCTGAAACTGAACATCGAGCACGTGAACTCGAATCTAAGATTCCAGCCTCATGAAACCCACTTCCCATATCATTGATAAAAAAAACCCTTTTTGTTTCCTCGAACCTTTAACAACATTCCTACACCATTCTTGACGGGTTTTTTCCATCAATCTATCGTTTTTTTTCATCTTTCAAATCTTTTTTAGATCATTTCATCCATAGACAACAGCTTATGTGGATGAATGTTTATTTATCTTTTAACTCATCTGATCAACTTGTTACCTTACCTTACTTCCTGTCATGTAGCTTAGCCTTTACCTTTACCTTTTTCTTTTTAAGTACTCTCAATTTTTTAGTTCTTTATAACCTTAAAGAATGATTTCAAAGAATCAAACTTTCCATGAGATCCAATCATCTTTTTTTGGGTTAGTTTTCTTTCGTGTTTCCTTTTCTTTGGTCTCTTTATCTCTTGTGTTTCTTTTTTTTGCTTTTGTGGTTAATAAGTGTTTATATAATTATTGAAAGAAAAAAAAATCAGAGTGTTTTTTTTGTTTGCTTAGAAAAAGATATTGTTTTTTATGACATCAAATTTCTTCTCATGATTAAAAAAGTTGACAAAGAGAAAAACTATACATGTAAACACAATTTGTTATTTCATTTCTTCTTTTCAAAGGTTTTCTTGTTTTGTTTTGTTTTGGTTTTTTTGGGGTGATCAGTTTATAAGTACAAAATCAATGAAAAAAAAAACTTATGTCTTGGTTGTTTACCTGTTCCGGTGATTGAGATTGGATGGTGTTTAGCTAAAGAAAGACAAATTGGTAAACAGAAACGATTTGACTCTGAACCTCAACTCGAATCTTGTTGACCATGAGACGTTCAGATCAAGGTAAAGAAAGGTGATACCTATTTGGTCTTGACACTCCTGACTTCTTGAATCCAAACCTCGGCTTCCTAGCAACCTCAAGGATCATGCTAGTTGACTCAACCTGTCGCCATGACAAGTGGCTTGTGTTGGCCTCTCACCGGCGGAGTAATACTGAGGAGAATCTCCATACGGCAAATATTTTGTTGGTTAGATGGCTCAAGAAGACTTGTTTAAAACCCCTAATGTAAGATGACATGGTTTACCCGAAAGGCTTTGTTTCCATGTTTGATGGCCAAGAGGAAAAGCCCAATCAGAAAGAATATGTAAAAAAAAAGGAAAAAAGATGAGACACGCAAAAAGAATTGAGAAGAGGGTGCAGGATAGATTGACAACAGAAGAGGTAAGATTGACAACGTCGATTTTGAAGATGAAAAAGAAAAGAAAGGAAGCAAAGCTACTATATATAGTATTACAACCCGAAACCTAAGATCAAAGTACAGGATGCAAGAAAAGAAAAGTTAACCAAACCAAAGCTTAAGATCCTTTCTTCTTCAATCGAGACCAAGGCATTCTACATTCTGCTCGTTCTGGACCTGTGCTGGTGAGAAGGTGAAGATGTTTGTATTGTGGAAAGAATGGGATCGGAGGAGGAGGATGAACGGGATTAGAAACCGTGGATCTACAACGTAGAAGGAGAAGAGATGCAGAGTTAGTGTTGGAATATTAAAAGAGATGAATCGAACATGAATGGTACAAAGAAGATAACTTACCTTGATAGTCGACTTGGCTGTGATCATCACAATAAGATCCAAGAGATCAGTATAGGTCATCAAACGAATCCGATATGATCCGGTGGTCGGAGATGAGAAAAGACTTACGGATACCCGCATCGACCAACAAGAGAGACACCTTGGTACGTTGATCACCTTGTAATTGAATAACTTGACCCAACTCTTCATCTTGAACCAAAGTGCCATTACAAGCGAAATCCTTCTTAAAAGCTTTCAAGAGCTTCTTGGGGTCATATTCAGATGGTAAACCTTGTAGAGTGGTAAGAGTCTTTCGACCGTTTCTTTGTTGGATTCGAATATGAACGTAGTCAGGTGCTTTGGTAGGCGCTTTGGTACTGATTGCTTGATCGTCACCAACGTCGGCGAAGGGATCTAGAGAGAAACAGGTTCGATCGATTATGAATTAAGAGTCATGTTGAAGTTGAAGTTGAGGATGAGAATGAGATGAGATAGGATGGAAACGTACCGCGGGATGTCAGGTTCTGAACGGACATGAAACGACTAAGCTGTGTCTGATTTAAACTGAAGTTGACTTGTGTGGATAGTTGGCAAGAAAGTAGTGATTGATATATGAGAATCAAGTTGGTGTTGATAAGATAAGGTAAAGATGATGAAGGTCAACAAGAGATGAATGGTTGGTCAAAAAATAAGATAAAAGATAAAAATGAAATTATATCTTAAGCTTACGATAGTTAAGTTTTAAGACTTGAGGTTTTTTTTTTTCGAAGTTTAAGTTTTGTTTGATGACTTGAGAAAAAAAAAAGTAGAATTGATTGAGTACAAATTCTAGCTTAACAACAAGCCCACTGTGCCAGGTGATTTTTCTCGGACTCGTCCGCCCCTGGCACAGGGGGCTTGCACATTAAACGACAATCGTTGCGTGACTAATAGCCACCTTTTGGTGGGTGTTTTTTCACTTCGCTTTTACACCACGACCCACAAATGCATTTTCTTCAAAAAAACAGTCAGATGAGCTCTGTCGAGTTATGAAGGAAATGGCCTCTTCAGAATCTCGACAGAGCTCATGATCGTGTTGATTCATTGAGGCTGCTTATTTTGAGATTTGAAATTTCAACCGCTAAGATTGTTATGTGTACCCTTAAAAAGGCTCGAGAGATGGTCAATTGACTCCCTTAAACAAACTTATTACTCGTTTTCCAGCTCAGTTCTTGTGAGCTGGCACTTTTGATTCTCTTTTTTTTCTAATAGAAGTTATGTACAAGATGCTGAACTCATACCAGCCAGTTTCAGAAACAACATCAAAGTAATGTTGAATGAGATAGGATGGGTTGCATCCAAAAGTGACCCAAATTTCGCTTTTGGGGGCTATTGGTCACGCCAGAGATGTCGTTTAATGTGCAAGTCCCTCGTGCCTTGGCTTCGGGTTACCGTGAGCTTTTGCACGATTGGACTTGGGTTAAGTTAGGTACAAATTCAAATCGATGGTTTGATTTTGAGCTGTTGGTGATTTTGAACTTTGATCTACTCAATTCAAGATTAGAATGTGAAAATGGTGTTCAAAGGTCGTTGGTTGATCAACAAAGGACTTTTCTTTTGCTGTGAAGGAACTTAACAGCACCTAAGACAAAACCTAGTTTAAGCTAAGGTATCTTTTGTCCGGAACGCAAAGTCCGCAGCATGTCAATCAATCATATCTTCAAGTCCGCCTGAAAGCAATGAACATGCTTGCAAGATGTAAAGCATTGAATTCAAACTCACAACTAACATACTCATCACAAGCCTCAAAGTATATTTTTGTTCTGCTACATAACAGTTTTCTAAGTAGACTAATGATTTATATATCATCATGCACCTGCTAGCCTCAATCAACATCTTGACCATACCCTCCACAAGCCTCAACCTCCAGACTTCCTTGAAAACACCCTTTGATGAGTAGGTCTGTAAAAAAAACCCACATACCTTCTCCATCAAAAAAAATGCAAGACCTCTTTGTGACTCAACCAATGTCCTTACGTCCATCTGAAGTTTTGGCCAAATCAAGTCACTCATACATTGGTTCATGTGACAATTGAGGTTAACTTTGACTTCAGTTACAGTATTCAAAGTTGTGTATAGTTTGTGTATAGTTTTTTGTGTATAGTTCTTTTTGATGGGGAAAAAGAGGTCAAAAGTGTATTTTGTTCTTTTCCTTGCCAAAAAAAAGGATGTACAACAACTATATACATGTAACTATACAACTTTGAGTACCCTCAGTATGAAAAACAACCTTGAAAGGAAAAACCAACAGAAAACCACTCTTGTGAGATCTTTGATGCTATCCAAAAACTTAAAAATGGTCCAGAAAGCTGATTGTTTTAGCTAACCTTTAAAGATAATATAGTAGCTGAAGTAAGTTCTCCATAAGCTACTGAAGATTTAAATGTATTAAACTGATACAAGTTCAACCAAAATAAAGTTTACCAAAGGTGGGTAAAGGAAACAAAAAAAACTGATTCTGTAGGTTATTAATTCTACATAGGGTAAAGAAGACTGAATGCTATGGATGAATTGTGTTTCTTCCAAAAAGATTATGAAGTATTTTTTGATTTGGAAGAACTTGTCATTTGTTGGTATCCTTGTCAAATTGATTATATTTAACAATTATGACCAGGTCGTTTTGAATTCCTATGCTCACTTTGGTATACAGATTTGACTTTGTGAGCTCTGAATATGTATCAAGAGATTATGTTTCATTGTTGATGATCTTTATTTTTTTGAATGTTTTTGTCAAATCTATCATCTTGAATATTTCAATTGTATTCTCTTTAGCTAAGATTTTCAAAGTCATTCAGGATTTTCTTTCAACATTCTGGACTGCTTGGATGATGATTGATAAACTTGAAGATCTTGTGTGAGGATTCTTGGTATGATTGATGAATCACTTCAAGGTGCTTTTTGTAATTATTCTAAGTCAAGCTTGAATTACAATTGGTCAGATGGATGACTCATTGTATTTGCATCAAATAAATGATTTGAAAACACTCAGATGGAGTTGTTTGGGCCACAAATAAGCCTTATGGATGTGGATATTAGAGGCATGTAATTTTTTTGTCAGGATCCAATCATCACTCATGGGTAATTTGAAGGAATTCTAGATTTTATGGTTTTTGGAGAGTATAATTGAGATATTGACTGAGAAGGTCAACTCTGGCTTGCAGCTCTGCTCACCATATATTGGGAAGAATAGTGCCTTTTGGACTCACTCAATCTTGGAATCTCTAACAAAAGTGCCAAGAAGAATCCAGGCAAAAAAGATAGCAGAAAGCTATACTTTTCATCCACAGTGCTTCAGGTAAAAAAAGAATAGATTCTATTGAAAGAAGAGACATTAAAGAGGTAAAGGAAGTGGAAAAAAATAGCTAATGTAAGAGATTGTACATGAATGTAAAGATGATAAATGGAAGACATAAAAAACAAATCAAAATAGAGGAAGACACTGAAAATGAGATTGTCAATTTTTTTTCTTGGCCACTTTCTTTCAAAAGTTTTTTGTATATTAGCTGGGTTCAAACCTCTGGTTGCACACAAACCTGGTACACCCAGTCAACTTCTTGGCTGGAATCTGTCAAGAGCTGTCAATAGATACACAAATTTACCACCAAAAATGCAACTGGGTGTACCAGGTTTTTGTAGCAACTAAACCAGGGTAGCTTTGAACACAGCAATTGAAGATTATTGAGATCAACTCCAAATTTGAAATAAATCAGAAAATAAACATAATTAAAAAGATGACTAATCAAAACTTTTTGTCTCAAAGATGGCATATATTTAATGTTGGTTAAATTTGTATTTGGAATTGGAATTGGATCCAAAAAGTATACTATCGATCTTGATTTGATTTCCTTAAATGATGATTTAAAAAATATCTGGCTAGATCTTTTGATGTTCTTCTTGTTGGATATTTTCTTCAAATGGGTTTAAAGTATTCTTTGGTTTATTGTGAATCAAAGTTGTTGGTGGTGGTGTTGATGATAAAGAAGGTGATGATACAGTTTGATTTACAGAATCAGATTGAACATTGAAAAAGCCGTCTGACAAAGCACAAAATGATAATTTATCTGGTTCTGTAAATTTTGAAAATGGTGGATAAGGTATACTTGATTTCTTTAACGTAGGTTGAAGAAATGTGGGATCTGGTGGTTTTGATCCAAGTTTAGTTTGATGTGCTTATGTGTCCTACTATAAGACAAGAGGACAGGTCTAGCACTCACAGGTGGTGGGGGTTCATGAGTTTGACCGAGTGAGTTTTTGATGAATTCAAAGTCCACCAACAAGGTGATGCAGGTGGTGGTGGTTGGTAGTTTTGATTGAGTGAGCTACTTGATGGATTTGGTGTTGAACAACAAGGGTAAGCTGGTGGTGGTCCGTAATCATGACTAAGCAAAGTGTTTGATGTAGTAGAAGCTAAAAGATGAAGTGGTGCTGCAAGTGGTGGTGTATCAAATCAATAAGTCTGATTTGTGGCTGGTGGTAATGAGTCGTGGTGAAGGGTGATTGTGGTTGACACTGGATGGAGGTTAGCATGGGGTTTTCATTGGTTGCTGAGATGTCAGCAGAAAGTGCAGTACTTTTTGCCAAAAAAATGTTTCCCTTATAGACTTTTTTGTGATTTTAACATGCCTCCGCACCCATAATGAAATTCATGTAATTTGATTCTATCTGATTACTCCTGCTCTCAGTGTCTTGATATATTGAGTGTTTCTGAAGATATACAGATACATTGGTATTTCAATTTTACACTAAAACTCAAATTTTGGGGCCGGGGGAATCCAAAAATACTGTCGGGTTTGAAAAAAAATAGGGACAAAAAATACTATTTTTGTACTATACCTAAGGATTTATTCTGGAATATCTCCCAGCTTTCTCAATATATATACACAAAAAAATTGATATTCCTTTTGAAAATATGTTTGTCCACATTTTTTTCCCTTAAAGCCTTCCTGTATGGGCAGTATTTCTACATGTAATTCCTGGATGTGTCCACAAGTTTGATTTTCTGAAGTTCTTTGCCCTCAAGACAAATTTTGAGGGAACATATTGCCAAAAGCATTCTGGATTTGGTTAATATACATGTAGATGCTAACTTAACTAAGTCCTTCTTGGATGAACAAGTAGTCAAGAGAGGGACTTAGCCCTTATACCACCTCTTTGGTGTATGAGCCAGAAAAGTTTGGCGGGTGGCTTTTTCAACCCTCCATATCTTTGTGTCCTGAAAACAAATATCCTTGGGACCAGAGAGAAAAGCTGTACACCCAGTCAAATTACACACATATGTGTAGCCTGATTTTAATTTGATTCAAAACTCACAGAGGAACATGATTGTGAAGTTTGCAAAAAATACCAAAATCAGGCCGAAAGCTGACAACCTGTCAAAATCCCTCACCAAACACACTGAAATGTTACACAAAAACCCATTCTTCAAGTCTGGTTTTAAGGGATTTTCTGGCGGCAAATAATGGCTTTGAAAAGACACATGTGTGTAGGATGAAGGATG